GCTTTCTTAAAAGTACATGCCAGTTTCGAGTTCCAAAATAAAACCCATGGTAGGAATTAATGTCGGTTCACAATTAGTTAAGCCTAATTCGATGACGAGGAATCCACTTTGAGACTAATAATGGCTGAAGACGGCTTGAATGGGTAATGAAGAAAAACTTTAATATAAGTTTAACGGGACAAAAGGTAAACTGCAGTGTAATGTACTGTTGTTGGATTTGTTAGTGTCAATTTTGTTCGTGAGTTGAGTTTTATTGTGGGGAATGTTGGAGAGCTTTTCAACTATAGCTGGTGGGAATTTATTGGTGTGAATAAAGGAATGCTTTAAGTGGTTAATTTCTTCATTTATGTAGTCCGTTGAACAGAGTCTTGTGGCTGTGTTTATGAGGTTTTTAAGTGTCATTGATTTTTTGTGTGGTGTCATGAGCGGAATTCCAAGGGATGTAAAGACCAGTGTGTGTGTTTTTTCGGTGATTTTTGGTTTTAAACTGTGTGTCAGATCTAATAATTTTGAGATTAAGAAAGGATAACTGTTTATTGTTTTCGTGTTCTATGGTAAATTTGATGTTCGGATGAATGGAATTTATGTGTTTAAAGAAAGTTAGTGTGTGTTCTGTAGAAGTGAAGCCGCAAAAGTGTCATCGACATATCTGTACCAGTATAGTGGGGGATGAAGCGCAGAATGTATGGCTTGTGTTTCGATCTGGGTCATGAATATATTGGCAAGAACGGGCGAAACAGGAATTACTTGTACCTGATGATGACAAAACTATGTCGAAACGTTGTACATTTGCTGTTTTGAAACCAGCTCAAGAATTATCCACACTTGGACTAAACTAGCCAGTAAACACAATATTCCTGTCAACGTCAAATTCTCACAAAAACCCGGCCCTAAATTAAAATCGTTACTAAACAAAAATTATTTAGAATCACACAATACCAACGTCATTTACAAAATAACATGCAATAACTGCCCAGAATTCTACATAGGAGAAACAGGAAGAAAATTGGAAACCAGATTGACAGAACACAATAAAAACCGCCCCATGTTTTTCGCCATTGCAACTCAAAAAAACATAGTATATCTATTAAAAACACAGTCATTTTAAACA